CTCAATGGAAAGCATAGCTCACAGCAGCACAGCCTTCACACTATTCTCCTGTGGTTCCTTCTGTCTGTTCTGCATTTACATTAAAAGCATTCGGGTAGTCTGTAGGTCTCCATCCAGACCAACTAAACTGTGAACAAAGATGCCAATGAAAACAGTTCTGGTGATACTTCCCTGTGCTTTGTCACCCTCTCATTTCAAATCAGCTTGAGACCACCAAGAAGGAGCTGATGATCATCAGAAACATCACTGGATCACTACTGTCCTGGCATGGATCTGTGACCTTGAATTATGCATTCACAGAAGACAGTATGACTGGAAAAATCAGGAGATGTCAGAACAATGTGTTGAAGCCTTTATGAACTCTTCAATTCTTCTTGTTAAAGGATGCATAGTTTGAAAAATGGATTTTCCCACAGATATCTTGTGATTTTCCAAAAATAATGTTTTGCAATACTCTTAAATTGTTACATTCCAATTGCTATTACTATGGATTACAAATTAAACTCTGGACTTCCATCTGCTGACAGAGGGCTTAGTTTCAACCCACAGTTTTGGAAAGGAGTTTCAGTTTTGAGCGCTATGAAAGACTCCTTCATTTAGATATCATAATTTAAAAGAAACTGGTAGGTTATGAACTGAGCTATAACATGATATAAAACAACTCTTACATGAATAATTATTTGCATATCAGATTATTAAATTAAAATCTATCAAAGATCATTTATTGAAATAAACAGTCTATCTGCCCTGTTTCTGGAAACATTTTGCCTCAGGGAAAAATTTAAACCTGGGCAGATAATCAGGATAAGGTATTTGAACACTTAAATCCTGCTGGAGTCTTCAAAGTAGGTGTTAAGTGGTGCATTAAATTTGTGCTTTTTCTTCTGAGCAGGGTAAATTTGCTCTTCTGTAAATAGTGGGAAAAGCCTTTTACAATAATTTGAATCCATGAATAAATGTAACATATTAAAATTTCTAAAGTACAACCACTAAATGTTTTTGTACATAAGCCAAATGAGTTGAATATCCAGGACTAAAATTATTCGAGTGACCACAGAAAGATAATATATAATTAAAATGACATCTGCACCACTAAACGACAGGATGAGAGAAAGTGACATCACAGATCTCATGTAAGCTGCAAGCGTATTATTAGATCTAAACCTGGCTGTAAAATTACTATCTACCCATGGGATTATCTTTAGGCATTCAGAAGCATTGTTTCATTTAGTGATAGAACGGGGATGATAACAGGCTGACTTTGCTTGCCACGTTGTTTTTTGGCCTTTCTTTATTCTTTGTTCACATTAGCTGCAGATGAGAGGAAGACAAGCTTCAGCTGAATCACTGTCATGGAGCTTTTCATTGTTTGCTCCAAAGGCTTTTTTCACCCTTCCCACCACCCCCCACCTCAAGAAAAGAACCCAAAAGTATTTTTAATGATGTTAAAATCAATGAGGAGTAAAAGATGCACACAATGTAACATCTAGGAATGTGGCAACCTAAGGAATACCCATTGGCCTGATGCACCTCAGGAAGATAATAAGACTTGGCTTACAGCTCTCAATATTAGCAAAAACCAGTAGCCACCAGTTATATCTTGGCTCATTAAAATTCAATGCCAAAATTTCGAGTGGCTTCAGTGAGTACATTTCATCATTTGAGACCTAGGACACAGGACATAATTCTCCTTCACATGCAGGGCTACCTGGGATACCTAATCTCTACAGATTTAATTTCTGGATTAATTTTTAAAAACCCTGCATTTTGATCTGTTTCACATACCATTTTTATGCCCCTGGCAAATTATTAAGTTGCCCACACTTGTAACGAGACTCATGCACCACCAACCTAAACCAGTCAAAATTCTAAGAGCATGTAACAAGACAGACAGTGAAAAGGGAAAAAGAGGAAGCTCCAAACTTTCCAGCCACTTCTGAAAGCCACAGTAATAACCCTGAACTGCAAAGGGGATTTAATGTGCCCTTAGAAATCTGGTCCTAAGTGTTTAACTCCCAGCATTTGAAATAGTTCCCACATGCCAGTTTTGCAAACTAGGCAAAAGTCCAGGAGCAGATGGGTCCATGGACTTATGCATACACTGCTAAGGCAAACATGGACTTTGTACTTTCCTCCACACTGCCCTGATACTGGGTAGTTACTGCCATGTGTTATCTCTTACAGCATCTCCCTATATTCCTTCCAATATAACCTTATACCTCTGCTCCATCAACCAGTAAAACCTGCAAACAGGCTGCATATGCACAGATTTCTGCCTCCTGCTCTTGTCACAGAATATGCTGAGTTGAAGGGACCCACAAGGATCACTGAGTCCAACCCTTAGCTCGGTGCTGCAACCACTGCCCTGGGGAGCCTGTTCCTGTGCCCAACCACCCTCTGGGTGAAGAATCTTTTTCTAATATCCAACCTAAACTTCCCCTAACACAACTTCAGGCCATTCCCTCAGGTCCTGTCACTGGTCACCACAGAGAAGAGATCAGTGCCTGCCCCTCCTCTTCCCCTCATGAGGAAGCTGTAAACTGCAATGAGGTCTCCCCCCAGTCTCCTCCAGGCTGAAAGAACAAGTGCCCTCAGCCACTCCTCATATGGTTTCCCCTCAAGGCCCTTCACCATCTTCAGTGCCCTCCTTTGGACTCTCTCTAATAGCTGATTATCTTTTTAATATTGCAGTGCTCAAAACCACACACAATATTCAAGGTAAGGCTGCACCAGAGCAGAGCAGAACAATCGCCTTCCTTGACCAGCTGGCGATGCTTTGCCTGATGCCCCCCTGGACACAGTTGGCCCTCCTGGCTGCCAGGGCACTGCTGACTCATATTCAACTTGCCATTGACCAGGACCCCCAGGTCCCTTTGCTGGCACTGCTTTCCAGCCTCTCATTCTCGAGTCTGTGTGAACATCCAGGGTTGCCTCATCCCAAGTGGAGAATCCAGCACTTTTCCTTGTTCAGCTTCATACAGTTGGTGATTACCCAGCCCTCTAATTTGTTGAGGTCTCTCTTCAGGGCTCCCTGCCTTCAAGGGAGTCAACAGCTCCTCCCAGTTTTGTGTAGTCTGCAAACTTGTTTAGTATCCCTTCCAGTCCTGCATCCAAGTAATTTATGAAGATTTTTAAGAGCAAAGGCCTTAAGATGGAGCCCCACTAGTGACAGGTCACCAGTTTGATGTTACCCCATTCACTACTACCCTCTGTGCTCGACCTGTTGTCACTAATCTTGCTTTTCTTTCCATTTTCCCTTTTATAAGGGAGTGACCATCTCAAGTATAGTGAAGGATTCTGCTCATGATCGAAGCCCTCCGTGCTACTGCCACAGAAATACACTGCATTTTATTAATAATAGTTAATACAGTAAGTACCTTTAATCCATGTTGGATTATTTCTTTGTCCCTTTTATCCTTTGATAACTGATACACAGAACAGACTTTTCATGTAGACCCCTTTGGCATGAATCTTTGATCCAAATCTTTCCATACATACAGCCACATCAGTATGCCATTAAAAGTTCTCACTGGACCTGTGCATTAGAAATGAGGCGTCTGCAAGCAGCTTAGATACACCAAATACTCCCCCACCACAGAGCCTGGGTCAGCAACAACATTTATGAACCATGAGTTGTTTGTGGCCAGTCAGTGGCGCTCACCATCTTTTGGATGTAAAGAAGGACAAAGACTTAAAGGCTGGTGAGGGTAAAGACCGATGAAGGTGGGCTGGAGGAACGACCAATAGCACGTGGTGACAAAGCACAACACAGAAGTGAGACTTCACTGCAGAAGAAGTCAAAGAGCAGAACATGCAACACAGTAAAGAGCAGCAATACTTCTGAATATCAATGTTATTTTTAAATGTCTTCTGGAGGTAGACTAAGGGTAAACTAAAATTCATTTTATCCTGAAAGGTGACAGCTGGGGTGAAGTGGTGGGGTCAAAAAACTGTAAAAAGTTGGGAGGACCCAGTCTCACCCGTGCTGTTAGCCCATCACCATTGCTCTTCATCTCAGAAACAGATATCTCTCATATTTCAATATTAACAGCTTCTTTAATGTCTGTGTTGTAGTACGGTTCATCTCAATTGTTAAAATTTGTCTCAGCTACCTTAAAAATGGAATTCCCACTGATATTCTTTGTTTCTCACTACACATCCATAATTAATTGGTTAACTTATTTTTAGGGATACTGTGTGCAGTCTGCAGTAAAAAATGGTCCAAAAAGACAAGCAGACCTGAAGAACTTTTGTATCATAGAACTGAAGCACAGGCCTATTTCCAAATGCTTCATATACCAATAATAGAGAGATGTTCACAAAAATGCATGTGCCTTCAGATACTTCATAAACAACAGTGATCAAAAAACAAACAAAAAACCCCTCAGACTGCCTTATGACCAAACAAAGCAGGAACAAATTATTTGCTACTAATGCATATCCATTTATATGCATATTTCAGGTGGTATTTACTACCTTTCTAGTTAGCCATCTCTATATCAATCGACTGCTCTAAGCAGACACTCAGGTTCTTTCCATGTTGCAAAGCTGTAGGAACCATTGCAGGGCTTATAAAATGTGCCTCAGCTCCTAGGTAATGATTGGGTTAAAACACTCAGTGGGGCCTTCTTTTCCTCTGGTCCTTAAGGAAAAGTAGCATAGACACAACACCTGAGTTTAAGACAAGAAGAAATTCTACAGGATGAATCCTTCCTTCTGGGTCTAGAAACTAGGTTGAAAAGTCATGCTAGATGTAACATTTTCTGCATCCTTACTTGAACAGAAATACTAAAAGAAGCAATCTTGTAGTGTGTTAACAATTCTGCATAAACACCAACCCTGCCTGATGGTACATAAAGCTAAAAGTTAATAAAATCTTCACAAAAATACTCTGGCTGTTCAAACAGACTGAGTTTACTTTTTAAACTGAGGCTTATGTCACTTACAGTTTTTCTCAAAACATTTGCTTACCCATATATTTATCACAGAAATAGCCTTACCTCAGCTGCATCTTGCTGGTGCCTGTAGACAATTGCATTTTTTATGGTTTGGATAAAAAATCCATTCAGTTCCGTTTGTTTCTTGTTTGGAAAAATGCGTAGCAGTGGGATCATTATGCATGGGAAAGAAACTGTAAGATATTTTAAAGCAGAAAACATTGAATCAGACTGTGAAGGTATATAATAGTCTTCCCCCCCCCACTCCTTTCATTAAGATTATAAAACTCATCAAGTGGGATGTGTTCCCTTTGTGAAACCTGTTTTTTCCTCTTTCCCTCTCCCTCTTTTTCTTCCACCCTCCCAGGCTGGCAAAGGATTTCCTTCTAGAAATGCCATGCTGTCCAGGACTCTCCTGCCAGACAGATGCCTTCCAAGTTTGCTTTCACAATGCTTCAGGATTTTGGTTCAGCTTTTTGATGCCACAGAGCCACCACAACAAAGTGGAGCATTATTTCCTCTGCCTACCCAATTACACAGAGAAGGTGTGGGATCTTGAACTATCCTGGCAGCTTATGGCACCAATCTATGCAATTGTGTAGTGTTCATTCTCATTTACAGTTTTCCAGCATTAGGGAGCATACAAGAAGGATGAGGACAAACTCTTTCTTTATCAGGGCCTCTTGCAATAGGACAAGGGGTACTGGTTTTAAACTAAAAGGAAGCCAATTTAGATTAGATATAAGGAAGATGTTTTTCACAATGAAGGTTATAAAACACTGGAACAGGTTGCCCAGAGAGGTAGGTGGTGGATGCTCCATCCCTGAAAACATGCAAGGTCAGCATGGACAGGGCTCTGAGCAACCTATCTAGCTGAAGACATTTCTGCTCATTGTAGGGGGTGTGACTAAACGACTTGCAAAGGTCCATTCTAATCCAAACTGTTCTATGATTCTATTTTATTTTGCTTCTCTAAACAGGCCGCACATTCTGGAAGAATGGTCTCCAGTCCATGGCCTTCATAGTCAGGAACTAGAAATCTGAGTGAAGTCTTGCATCCTAATAAACCCCTCATTAACTTATGAACAACGTAAAACTAACAAATCAGTCATTGGACAAACCCTGTCCTGCCAACAGAGCAACACAGTGTGGAAATTCAGACCACATAATGAATCAGCAGAAGAGATGAACCAAGGAATCCAACCTCAAACCCTACAAAGACCTGCTTTAATGAAGGGCACACTCTTAGACATGTAGGGGCACATTTCTGTCCCTTAAGAAACTGGTCACAAATCACACTTCGCAATCAGGTTAAACATTAACCCCGGGACAATTTGGATACACAACTCCAGAAGGAAACAGTTCATGTGTTGTGAGTCCAGGTGCAATCTGTAATGCCAGCAGGATCAGATGGGCACAGAAAACTTTGCCATTTTGCCACCTGACATTACTGTGTGCAGGTCTAGACATCAAGAAGATAAAACTTCAATAGGATTGATTACGGTGTGGCTTCCTCATCTACAATTCTTACTGCCCTTGAATTAACAAGACCATCATCACCATGAAGCCGTAGCTTCTGCGTCCTAGAATTAAATGGCTTTATACCCCACTCATGCATTGCTATCTATTCATCTGACAATAAGTGCATTCTCTTCATGATGCCTGTTATCTTTATCCTTTATAGCCACTAACCAAGCTGCTGCTGTTTTTCAAAAAATACACTATCTGCTTATGCTCCTCCACCTCTTTACTGTGGTGGGTTGTTAATGTTGTTAGCAGATGGGATTTCAATCTCTACCACGTTCAAAAAACTTTACACTTAAGTGCTGTTACTCTGTTTTAATGAGAAGTGTACAAATACCATAAAAACTGCAGGACCCAGAAACTTTTCTCTCAGATGAACCTGGAGCATTGTGTTCCAAGACTCTCAGTTTCTGGAGCAAGTTTCATTAATGGTGACAGAAGCTGCAGAGCATATGGTGGAAATCTCGAGGGTGTATTTGGCCTGTAGGTTGCATTCTGAACACCTCTGAAATAAAGTCAGCTATAAATCTTCCTGCTATGGTTTCAGTATGTTCAGAATGACTTTTAGGAAGTTACCATAAGGAAGAAAACAAATGTAGACTATACTCACGGATTAGAATGAGGAGAGGCTTAAACAAAGACATTTCAAAGAATGTTCTACAATTCTTAACAAAGGGGTCATCAGGATTCTTCTTGGAATCCACCTCAGTACCAAAAGCTACGCTGCCAACGACATCCAACGTAAAGCAGTTGTAACACCTGCATTGAATTGAAGAATTATACATTGTTATCTACAAATCACATATCCATTAGTATCTTGCTTCTACAAACATCACATAGCATTAATTTTTGCCACTGAGTTTCTTTTTCCTTTTAGATTTGAGCTTTGCCAACAAGAGATGTTTCCACCATTCTGACAAATGCTGATGCTTAATAACGGTCACCTTCTCTCCACATATAAAGTGAACATATTTTCATTTAGCTCAATAATTCCATCAAAAATCTATTAGAAATAAACAATTTAATTTTTTATTACCTAGAAATCAAAGGCAACATGTCGTCAGAGATTCATAAGCATTTTCTTAGTATGCATCCTAATAAAAGAGATCACTCCTTTCTCATTTTAAACTGCAAAACCCACATCTATTACCAGTCCTGCCTAAACTCTCAGAGACAAGAGTTGCTTAAATAAAATAACACTGCTTAAGGATTTCCTTCCTCTTCTCTATACCTCCTTTGTAATGTAAATCCATGGACAAAACCAAGAGGAACTGCCACCATGTGAAATCTGTATCTCTGCAGAGGAGTAGCCAGTGCTTCGAGAATTACAAATCATCTGTGGACCATGATCTAGAAACTTCAGAACTTACTGAATCTCTCCCTGCATGTCTAACCATCTATCCAGTTGCCTCACCATCTTTATTTTTCTACTGGGCTTTAGCAGCTATTTAGTTTTGAGATAAGTGGACTGAGAATGTAAAATATCCTTGAAATTTCATTCTTCTGATCTGTGGTCAAGTCTGCAATGAATGTTCTTCTATGATCTCTTACAAAAGGCTAATTTCAATCTCTGGGGTTTTAACCTGAATGAGCACGTATGAAGAGAAGGTCAAGAGTCAGGCCCATTATATCCTGTGTACATTGTGAAACAGTATTTCTAAACTATGATCTTTGGGCGCTGTCATTCTGATGACACCAGATCAGATTTGAAAGATTACAACAATACTGCAAGGTGAAGTAACTTCTTTGGGTCTCCAACTCTTACAAACACACACATGAAAAAAAGAAAAAAAGAATTTTTAGAAGCTGAAATGTTAAAAAGAGCATCCATTGCTATAAAACAATAATTTCAGAGGCACTCAATCATTTATTTCTCCAAGGTACTGAAAAAGATCTTAAAAACTAAATTTTGACTTGTTGGCAAAACACAAAATGGCTAAAGACAACTAACATACAAGATCACCGGAGGTTACAGATATGGTATTTACATCCAAAACCAGTTCCCAAGGCAATTCTGTGAAACTGCAGTGGAATGAGAATCACATTTATAACTGTCAAACCTGCTGAAATGGTAGTATGGTAAAACAACTGGAAGATCATGTTCTGAGATGGTCAACATCATTCATTTATGCTTTCAAAAGTTCTTTTCCAAAATGCCTCTTGAGAGGTGAAACCCTATAATAGATCAATAGCTATGAGACCAGGCAAAGACAAAACAAAAATGGAAAAAAGGGAAAAGTCTGGAAGGACTCAAAAGGTCAATTTTCATCAGAGCACTCAGCTAGTGTAGTGTATCTTGAGGTTTTATAGCATCTCTTCAGGTGTTTAATAAAGAGATCTCCGTACACACACATACACTTGCATGTGCACATGTATACATGTCCTTGAAAAGAGATGAATGAATTGTGGCTAAATATCCATTTCTTCAGATGAAACGATATTATTTGTGCTTCTTCAGTTTGAGGAAAACCATGAAGAACTTCAGAGGGCACTGACCAACCCAGCAAATGAAGTGTACACAAAAATAGGGCCTATTAGAAAGAACGCATTCAAACCACTCATATGCTGCACAGTGTCCTAGAGGAAATGCATCTACTCAGAGAAGACAGTGTTGTGAACAGTTCAGTGAAAACCTCTGATGAAAGAGCAACAGAAAAGATAATAGGATATTAAATGCATAACAAATGAAAGCACAATATGGAAAATATTAAAATGTCATTTTATAAACCAATGGTGCATTCTCATCTGGAGTACCGATCCCGTTGTTTCACAAAAGGCTAGTGTGCCATGAGGGGGGATGTGAAGAATCTGGTAAGAATGATTAAGTGCTCAAAAAAACCTCATATAAAAAAAAGCAAGAGTGTGATGGACTAGAGATATTTGATATCAGATCAATTCTTATACTTGTACATTATTGACAGACTGTAATGAACAGACTGGGCGGGGATTGACACAGCCCTCCTTTCTGCTTCCAGCTGTTAAAACTTCATTAAACAACCACTAGAAATACATTAGATGCTTTACCAAAATTACTTTTCAAGTATGCAATGGCTGCCCCCAGGAAGAAAAGGAATTTATCAGACACATCCTCTATTAAACTATGATCTCCACTCTTAAAAGTAAGGGAGGAAGAAAAAACTTTTATACAGTAAGTGCATATTTAGAATAACTGCTGCTACTGACTTTTTTTTTTTTTTAATCTGCTACTAATTTCTGGCATGTAGAACATACCTCTGGATATCAAAAGCTTTGCCAGAATCTGCGTAGACTTTCAAGTTACACAGCAGGATGTCACAGGCCTGGTTTATTAGTGGTGTCATCTAGAAAGGAACACACTGAATTGTGAAAAACATGAAAATCTTAAGGAAAAAAGAAACCAACAAAAACAAACAATTATTCACAATTATTTTTATCTGGCAAATGGGATGGAGCTCTCAGGTTCCTCTGCAAGTGTAGTTAGGCACTTATGCGCAGGTAATATGAAATGTTGGCACTGTCTGCTAAAAATAAACCCACAAATTACAGGGGTGACCTTCTCCAGCTCTGGGCCTAAATACAAGAGGCTCTGTCACTTACCTGACCTATGCTTCTTGCTCACTTGTGGCTACATACACAGAGAGCTATCAAGCAAAAATATCCCCCTCTCTTTCTAATCATTCTAGCTGAAGATTTATCGTGATCTGTATTTAGAGTACTTTACACTCAGGTTACATATGCTCCAGGGCAGAAAGAATAGTATTTTCCAAAGTCAGAAAGTCCTGTAAAGGCACTGGCATCAGAGTCCCAGCACTTCCATCCTGCTGTCTCTCAGTTTGAGGGATTTAACATGTACATTAGAAAACCACCCTGTGTACCACTACAGGTAGCTGAGGGTAAACTGCTATTGCTACATGAGGAAAGGATTTTCTGGATGATGCTATTAAATGGACATTCACATGATTTATTCAACTAATTGTTCTTTCCAGTCACTGACACATGATGGTTGGGTAGACTTATCCACAGCCTGGCTGTAGCTCACAGTGCAACAGTCTCCTCTCTAGGGCTTCAGTGAAACCATAACACAGGCAACCAAGAAGACCTCATTAAAGTCTCTCTTTCTTTCTCTTTAATTTTTTACATATGAAAGGGATCAGACACTTCCTTGATTACACCAACTACAGGGGCAGAGGAAGGGTATAGCAGCAATCCAGCTGTGAACCTAAAGGAATTATGTCCTATGGCTCTTTCCCACAGAGACTGCCAAGAGATCCTTACAGCCTACAACTTAATACCACAGTCTTGCCTCAATAATTATGCCAGGCACCCACAGCATACACATAGAAACCTGCCTCTCCTTCCTGAACAACCTCCTTCAGCATACGGATGTCAACAAACATGAGAACAGACTCGTCCTACTCCTCTGACATTTTTGTTACCAAAAAAGACTTACTGCAGCCTCGCCGCACTCTCTGAGAGCTGCGCAGCCTGCCCAGCCAAGTCCATTTTGCTTGGCACTTCTACCTCTGTGAAACTGGCATAACACTTTGTGCACAGGCACACTGCCATCCTAACACATGGGCAAGACTATACACAGTCAAAAGGCCAACGCGGGAGCATCCAATATGTTTTCCAAAGGCAGAAGTCTGAGTCAAGAATGTGTCTAGCTGCTCTCGAGGTCCCGTGCCTATACAGGAGAAATTTCATTTCAAAGCCGGGGGGATTTGGGCTTTGCCACAGTCTCACAAGACAATTCTGACAGCAGATTAGTATTTGGTAACAGTAGCTGTTATGTGTTTGGGAGGGGCACACCATGTTATGTGGCAGTTCTCTTTCCCTTTTGGCTTTCCAAAGAAGATCCCCTGCAGTGAGCTGCTTCTCAAATGGTTCAACAACATTAACACATTTCTTTTCAACAGACTGAACCAGGGTGAAATATTTTATAATCTCTGAGTCCAGCCCCTCCAATGAATTGAACCAGTCAAGGAGAACAAAATGAAAATCTGTATTTTAACAGGTATGATGTTTCCTAAACAGATGGTGATCATTTCAGATGTTCCTGTTATTGCCTTATTTTCTCTTTTTTTTCATCACATCACCAGATCTGCAACCACCCAGCTAGTTGCTATTGCTCTTCAACAGCTGGCAGAGATATCAGGGGCACGTCTGGTCAGGGCATCCCACAGCACCTCTGCACTTTCCTCATTCCACCAGCTTTCAAAATACTGTTGCAATTAATTTCTAGCCATAAGGTATTTTTATTAGTAAATTTAACCAGGAAAATAAGGAGGGGGGCACATGGATTTGATTTATTGTTAGCATGATAAGACAGAGTCATATCGATGAGACAATTTGTGTATGAAAGCTACAGGGGATATCTACACAAGAATCGTAGGTTGTGTTTGAATTTTTATTCCCCTGGGGGGTATAAATTAGTCCAAGATTGTGAACTACAAAGACCACAGACTGAAACATTCTCAAGTCCCTTAACACCTCAAACTCTTTGTCCAATTGTCAAGAAAAATAGTGTTGGGGGAGGTGAACGTTGAAAACCAGCACAGAAACAGACACGTTGATCTACACTGCCTTGGTATAAGTGACTTTTTATATATTCTCATTTGCCAGTCAGAACATAAAACCTGCATAACCTGCCTGAGATTCAGTTCTTGGTAGGTAAACAAACCCCAGCTGCTCTGTGTTCAGATTGGCTGAGAGGAACAGGATGAAGAAAAATCTAAACAATATGGTCCCTGTAAATATTTGATCTGCCAGTTATCTAATAGCAAGAGTAGCCCAGAGTCCAAATTTCTTTCTTTTTGCCAAAGAAGAGCATTTGGGGTTAGGGTTTTCATGATGCCAGGGGCTTTGCTGTTTAAATCCTGCCAATATGCTATTTGGCACATAACAACAATTAGTTTCTGCTTCTGCGTACACACAGCGCATGTGGATGTTTGCACTGTTCAAAGGCATCGGAGTCACGTTCCTCTAGTAAGATGTGGCCCTCGATATTCATTAGTATTATTATTCCCCTTATTATTAGCACAGCAAACTAAAAAGTAGAAGGCTGGATCATGTTCACTGTAGACAGACACACTGGAGACTTTACTGTTCGCATACAGAAGCAGAAGTCACATTGGACCTTTTGTCCCACAAATGTCATGAAATATAAAGGAAGGAGAAGGAAAAAGAATACATCCCTAAAACAAGAATTGCTTCTGTTCCAGATTTCAAGTCCTGAATAAAACCAGGAAAAGACTAGAGTGTCAGGAAGACGTTTTGTGAGCGGATTTGTTCCCATCACCTGACAGTGGGCCTTGCTATTCCTGGGCACAACTTACCAAAATGAGCAACTCAACCAGACACTGATCTGTGGCTCAAGGATATGCACATTTCACAAATCAGTTTTTATGTTAGTTATTTGATTTGCCTTAGGTGAGCACGCTTGCTTTGCCCAGCAACAACAATTTCCAGAGACCCTTCCAAAATACCTTTGACCAACGTGCACAAACAGAATAAGAGCAAATCAAGGAAATCTCAATGGTTGGACTGTCAGATCTTACGTCCTAGTGGGACATGAAAGATCTACATGCCTGAGAGTGACACTAGAGGATTTTCCTGCACTGTTCTGTCACGTTATCCCAAGTTCTGCTTTGTGTCTCCCTTCATTTGAAAGAAATGCCTCAACACAAACTCCACTTCACAGGTTATTTAGGACAATGCTACATTATGCTGTGCTCTCTCCTCTAATTTTTGTGTTCCGCTTTGTTTTAATGGTTTGTTAATGGAGGAGAGGATTCCCAGCATACTGATAGGAGATGACAAGACTACTGCAGCACCATCAGAATAAATAAAAATCAATAGGTTTTCTGCTGGTGTTGGCTGTAAAAGAGAGCAAAGCTATTTATCAAGTCTGACAAGGGGTCCAGAACTGCAGGATCATCACAGGCACCACAGCAAAAAGAAGAGGAATAAAATAAGAAATACTAAATAGGGAATCAAGATCGGTACAGTAAGATCACTAACATGTCAGTTTGTTTCAATACATAATAGCTGAGGAGAGCATGACAGGAACACTGGGAAATTATTCTTTTACTTAGAGCCTCCAGGTATTCATCAATTCCTCATGAATTACATCTTGGATCAACTTTCAGTGATTGGTAATATTCCCATTTAAAAGATAAAAGTTGTTTCATGTGCAGAGAATTTACGTAGCTACTGTCAGATCACCCACAGGCAGTCAATGTCAAAACTGGAAGTGAAATTTCTTGGGTCTCCTGCCTCTTGTCTCTCATTTCTCCTTCCTAGTGCTCCCATAGCAATGGCACTATGAGGGGGTCTTACTGGAAAGAACTTATTATCAGATCTGCTACCAACTCCAGTGGCATGTCATATGGGATGCTACTAAATCTTACTGCAGGACCAAGTTTAGAAGTCTATTGTTTTATGCTATGCTCACCACCACCACTATAGTATTTTTATTTAATGTTATCTGGAGCCAAAACTTCCTTCACTCGGAGTGGACTGCTGTCGTGGTTTGAGAGCCCCAAAATCCAATTCTCGAGTCCAAGCCCCCCTCCCTCATCTCAACTGCTTTACTAATCTTCACATGCTTATTGGAAAAAGCAAATTAAAAAGGGAGAACACCCAATATATAGGAATCCATAAAAGCAACAGTGAAACAGTGCGTGGCTTTTAAAAAGAATTTGAGAAAAGAGAAAGCTAGAGAAGATGCCAGAAGCTCTTGAAAAATGTTATGAAAATAACTCTGCATACATGCAGCAATCACTATATGGGCTACCCAGCAGCTCTATAACCTCTAGTTTCAGTTCATTTCCTGTAACTGAAAAATTAAAAATTTCTGGAATCAACTTTTTTATCATTTGGTGACTGGCTGTTGGAGATTTTTGCCAAACTAAGGGGAAATTCCTCAAGCTCAGCAAACTTCTCAGTGACATTACACTACTTCCGTGGAGCGGCAAGAGCAAAGTATGCCTCTGGTCACAGCCACAGCAGCCAGGTGCCTCTGTGGAGCACTGCAGGTTAAATCTTAGCAACATACATTAGCTCTGCCTTGGTTCTTGTCCTCCAGCAGCCAGGTTAAAGTAGATGACCAGCTTCTCATTCTTGCTGGCCCTGAAACTGTCCCTTCTTGTGTTTCTGAAATGGAGTTATCAGGAACCACCAGTCTCTGGCTCTTGGTGCATCTTTTATGTGAAGTGATTGCTATGGGGAGCACGAGGAGTTGTTAACATTTCTTGCTCTGTCACAGGCTAACAGCTCTCAGTTCCCTCAGAGCATCCAGACAGACAAGTCTATGTTTGGAGTGGCACCAGGGGCTGCAGCACTCAAGGAACCACTCAGGAGGTGTGCAGTCTCTCCAGCATCACTGGTAAGTTTGCATACAGGAACAAAGGCAAGGCAGACATCCAGAGTGAACAGAGAGGAAGACTTTGGTGTGGAATTTTATCAGAGCTTGGACCTCTGCGGCAAAAGAATCAATGTCTTGGGAGAAAAAAATAAGGAAAGTGCCTAGTAGTATTTATAAATATGTATAAAATAACATATCCAGGTTATTATGCAATAAATTAATACCAAAGCTAGCTTGTTTGTAACTGCTTTGAAGTACAGAGGAAGGGATTATTATAAACAGGATGTCTTCTATATAACTCTGAATACTCTGTAGTATGGCCAATAGTAGAATATGGTATTTTTGTTTCCATGCTGCTGCAGAGGTTCCGAGAGAGTACCAAATATGGGAGAGTTAAAAAGTGAGATCATAATTAATGAGCATCAATTTCCTTTGAGAAGTGTTGGTATGGCTTCCAAATTAAGCAACAGCAAGAAAAGCACATGGGCAAGGACTTAAATTGCATTAACTTCAGATCCCAGGACTGTTAATGTATTTGGGTAGAAAATGAAATGCGAGGCTGAGGAGCACATCCGTTCAACAGCAGCTCTTAATCTCATATGGGCTTACTGCAAGTGTCTCTCTGTGTCAAAATGGACGGACTTCTGCTGAAGGTATGGGAGAGAGGAACAAAGCTGAGCTTTTCAGAGAGACCTGCCCCATTCCTCTTTTTCCCACTTGGGGTAGAACGGGAGGAAAAAGTAACCATTTCCAGGTCACCCTGAGCCCATCCACAGTCACACCCCTTCCACAGAGCTTGGAAGAGGCATCATGGGGAAAGGTGATTATCAGGTTAAAAATAAAGAGCTCAGTCTTTGCATGCGAGATGGCTACCAGGCACTGGCCAGCCCTCAACTCTACCTCCTACCACTATTCCTTCGTTCCAGCTCCACCACCAAGCAGTGCAAAGGGAGTGCCATGACTTCTCCTCCCAAGTCAGTTTGATCAGTCAGACCCTGCAAACCCACGTGTGCCCAAGCAGGACACCCGAGGCTCCACTTGCTTGCCCTCTCTGTGCTCCTCAGCCAAGCCTGCCCGGCTGGTGCCAGCAGAGGTTGCTCTCCACAAATTGAGGGGAGAGCAGTGTTATCTTTTGTTAGTCCGCCAGAAAAGAGCTGATGACCTGCAGTAAGATTAATTTCCACCAGGAAAATGCAAAACTCTCCTCTTCCCACCATGCCATGTGCACCTAATCGCTTGCATATTTAAACATCCTTGCCTTGCTAAAATTTCGCGATGGAGCCGGTGACAGAGCAAATGTCGGGGCGCATAACCAATGGCATTGTCAGTCGTGATTAATCAGCATCTCCACCAGGCTCACGGCCAATTAGAATTTACCATAATAAGGAGGTGACAGCCGGTGTTGCTAAGCAACCGCTGTCTATAGAGCTGGGAGAGGCAGACACATTTAGATGTTACTGTGGATTTCGACAGCGGCATGTCAAAACAACACAAGCGTCTGCCCAGTGGAAAATTTTACAACCCAGGACTGGGCACCGGAGTGAGGCATGATTCCCCTTCAGAATAAAATACGTAAAGGAAAAGGTGATTTTTTTGTTGTTGTGGAGTTGATTTTTTTTTCCCCTTGAAAGAAGACTTTAACCAGTCAATCATTTATCTGCGTTTAATTAAGAGATATCGTGTCACTGGAACAGGACTTTGTTACCAGGTAATGGGCTCCCATGGCTGAGCAAATGCTGATACATTTATAGGAAATTAGCAGCAAGTCAGCACAGAGACATTTATTTTCAGTCAGAGGTATTTATCTGGCAATGACATTCTGTTCCAGTGACTTATTTTATTATATGAAAGGATTAAAGAATAAAAGGAGGAGGGGAGGGGAAGGAGATGGAGAAATGAAAATAGACTGATAGCAGTTCCTGTGTTAATGTGAGAGTTGCTGACTCTGCACATCATGAAAAGCTATGTTCCAACTGGGAGCAATAACCTTTCTGTACTTTAGCTTACTCCTAACAGGATAGGGAAGATGTAAGGGTCCTTCTTGAGTATGCTACACTTTCATGGACAAACTGGCTCATACAGAGGAAGACAGAGGATCATATCCTCAGCTGAGCTATTCTGACTTTCACCAGTCTATGACCTGGACCATGCTGTACCTATGCTCTACTGCACATGCTCTTCAGGCCTAAATAAACTGGCACAAAGTAGCAAGTTTTACCTATCCTTAATATGGACCTACATAAAGCAGATGCCTGCACAAGTCTTCTAAATTATGAAATCAGAACTGTCTACACCTTACCTCTTTCAGTTTGGTGTCGTTGAAGGCTGGGGTCAGGAGGCTCCGCACATACTTCCATCTGTCATCTCGAAGACAAAGGATGCTGTCAAGCATTGGCTTGGAAATCAAGTTCGGCTTCTAAGTCAAAAGAAAGCATAATTCAGTTTTAACACAAATGCAACTATAGCTACTCAAGGCTCTGGAACTTGGAAAGATTGGTCATGAACGGCATTGCACTGCTGTCCCATGATGAGAGAGGTTCGAATCAGTCCCAAACACCAAGCTAAACATGGATGAGGCTGGAGAAAATTTCTCTTTTGCTGCACTTATTTCCTCTTGGGCTTGCAAAAGCCCTGGGCCAGCCCAGTTACTCCTTGCTCAGACTGTTCCAGTTCTGATGTTCATGGTTTTCTCCTGAGATTGCCTTCATTGAACCCTGGCTTCTTTCCTCCCTTCCTAAGGTGACTAGCAAGAGGACTTGTCAACACTCCCTCTCCGTGTGACGAGTGCCAACGCACCACATGCGGGTGTTGGTGGGGGACATGATTTCTGGTGACAGCTGGTATGTCAGACTGTTACATGCATTTTAAAAGTCTTCAGAAAATATGTTGATTAGAAAGCAAGTCCCAGTCGTTACTCTGTCTATAAGGAACACTCTCACTAAGAAGTTGTGGCCTATGACTCTTACAGCTGCAGCTGCTGTCAAATATAGTAGCTCAAAGCACTTTCCCATGAAGTCTGTACCAAGGTAACTACTATGGATTTACTAAATTTTAATCTCCCCCACCATTCATGAAATTCCTATCCAGACAACAGTGATATTCACCAAGGATTAAAAGGATATAAAAGAGGAAAGCGTGTTAGAAAACAACACACTTCTGCCTGGAAGAGGCATCAGGAGATGTCCAGCACCACAGCAGAATCTACTACAACTTACATTATTGTCAGATGTTTCCTAATTGTTCCTGAAGGCCTTGTGGGGATTCAATAACCTCCCCACTGAAACTCTTCCAGTGCTGGAGTACTTTTACTGTGGTTGCACGATCTCTTCTCCTGGACCATATGACCTTTAGTCTTTGTGCTGTCACAGGCATAGAAACCAGCTTATTCTCCCCAGCTTTGCAGCAGCCCATATATACAGAAGACTATAATAACCACTTATCATATTGCTGCCATCTACCCCACATAATGCCAATGTGCTCAATACATATTAGTCACGTTATCCGGGACTGACTGTTCAGTGTTGTTACTGTCCCTCTGCATAGTCTTGTTGATTTACTTCTTTCTCAAGGTACAGTCCCTGTGACCTGACACGGTGCTCCAGGCAAGGAAGGATTTTTTTTTTTTTTGCCATATGTTCTGCAAGCTATATTCCTTTCTATTCACTCCAGAATACTACATACCACACCGTGACAATGTACTCATGTACTGGCTTGTGATTCTTTGCAACTCTCAGATTTTTTTTCTGAATAGTTACTCCCTAGGAAGTTATTTCCCAGCCTTTATCATTAAAGCTGGTTACTCCCAAGAGTCACATATAGAACACGTCCTTGTTGAACTTTGACCATTCTTTTTATGCCTACTTCTCCAACTGACCAACACCACTTTGAATTTTAGCCGTTTCTTTCATCCTTACCAGCTTTCTACATAAATTGTTAGTGCACTTAGTAACATCATCTAACTCATTAATAAAACTACAGAACAGTACTTGCAAAGAAGGCACCTCTGGGCTCCTCCCTTTCCTTCCAACAGTGCACTGTTCCCAAACACTTTTCAAGTCATCTTCAATTGGTATTTCAGGCATTGTACAGCAATGTCCTCTGGACAAACCATCCTAAGGTTGGTGGGTGCAGGTGGAAGGTGTACACTTCTCTAGTTACCAGGATGTACAGAGACACTCATTTGTGCATGTGAGATGTTCTGGATACTGCAGTGGCAGTACAGTCCCCCATGTTATCAGTATCAACAGTATCCACTGTACTGGGAAAGACCCAAACAAACCAAGGATGCTTTGGCCTTCCCAATGCCATCTGTTGATCCCTTTCACCCTCTAACTTTTCCTTTCAGTCATTCTTTCATTACTAATGTACGTGAAAAATTAATTCTTACCGCCTGTAACAAACCTGGATATTTTAATATCATTTTGTGCCTCAATATTTCTGATTTTATTGTCACTACATGCTATTTTTTTATCCTTCTTCTTGGAAATCTGACCTACTTTCCACTCTGTAAAAAAAAACTTCTCTTCAGGAGCCATGAAGAGCTGGCAATTTAGCTACACTGGTCTTCTAGTGCACTTCCTTAACTTTCCTCCTTATTGGAAGAGTTTGCACTTAATATTGTTTCTTTAAGGAGCTGCCAGCTCTCCTTAACACCTTTTTCCTTTACACTTGCCAGATTCTTACTACACTGTATAAGCTTGTAAAATGCAGAAGCCTATTTTATATTGCAAACGGGCTAATGGGATAGTTTTACATGCAGTAACACCATTCAGTGTAGTAAACTAATGTCACTGGGCTGACACTACACACCACTTTTGAGCAGAGATGAGTGGTTTTCAAGTAGAAAAGTACATAGTAGGATATTAAGCTGAAGGAAGAGACTGACTTAGGTGCTGTCATCAGATGACTACTGTAAGACAAAACATGGGTTCTTTTTTAATGTATACATAGACCATTCTATTTTGTGCAATAACAAGAAAAACTTGGGACAAGCTGTCAAAGTTGAAGCAGTAGGACTGTTTTCTCTGAGTCTGCTCTTTAAATAAACAATCTGTTTTCTGACTTGTCAGTAGGTATCTTTCCTGAGGATCAGAAGTCCAGCTAGAAAGGCTCACTGGAGCGCTCCCTCATTTGTTACAGATATTCAAAGACACAGTAGAATCAGAAGAAAGAGGCTCTAGACAATTGGAAATGAGCACCATCCTTTCAGAAAGCACTGTATGCCAGCCTCTGCTTCACAGTTCTTATGTGCTGCCAGGGAAGCTGCTTACACTAAATCTTGACTCAGCTGGTCACCAAATAACTATTCCTTATATCTTTGGTCTTCAGTTTCAAACCCTGAGGGTGAGATTGCAGCACTCACTGAAATCAACAATAGGGAATGTGCCTTGATCAAGAGAAATGCACTAGTCCAAGAAATCAGGTCATGGAATATGGCCCCCAAATTAGCAAACACTCTCAGACCCATGTTTCAACCACCAGCCTTCACTCCTGTTTTATAAAGAGGAGCTATCACATCACCTCCTCAGAACTGGTAACAACACATTAACATTTCTGAGGCACTCAGAAACTACAGTGAAAGAGTTGAATAACAATTCCCACAAGGAAATGACCGATTTTGTCTTCCAAAGGTTTGAATAGCGTACAGGGGGAAAAAAATAGAAAAAATTATAGAGCAACACTTGGAAAAGTATTTTGCATCCACTCCTAAATTGAAGGCTGCCCAAACTGTGCACTCTATAAGACAAATCTCCTTTGCAAGACAAGGCTCCACTTGGATAATAACAGATGTGATATAAATCTTACTGCATTTGCCTTGAAAGCAAATTCCCTCCCTAAACCAAACACTTGCCTTAAAAAATGTTCATAATTGCATAAAGACTGTATATAGAGCATTCACAGAGAGGGACCCAGTTTCTGAACAAAAAGTGTGTTAACTATAATATTATAACTACAACACTAACTACAGCATTGCCTTTCTAGCACTCTACTTTATGTCAGTATTGCTCCCTTAACACATTTTTTGTGTGTATAGTATTTTATACGTATAAATGCTGCAAGGAATGAAAGACAATTCTGGCCATAAATTATTTTACTCTGTATCTTTAAACTGGGTATGCAAAAATATGTTTGTGTTTATTGGAACAGCATCAGCATGACTGGCAGCGTATAGCAGATTTCATTTATCAGGTTTTCCTTATTGTTTCTGCAAACACTTTCCTCCTAATTGTATAACCTGTGTTACAGGTTCATATAGCAGGAATGAAAATGGATTTGGTGTGAGAATGAGCCTGAAGTGTCTTAGTGAAAGACGAAGTGTCACCTCTCTCCAAATGGACAAAGTACTAGATGTTTCTAAAAATCCTTTCTCTATAAAAATCACTAAAAAAATTACCATGGGAGGCAGGTGTAATATTTTCAGGAGAGGGATCTTGGTTTTTAAGCGGCAAAGGAGGTTGCTTTTAAGTCAAATGCAATCAGGCTCATGTTCCATCTATCATTATCTAAATACTCAATGATTCCTCTACACTTCCTTCTCCTGTGCAATCAACAATTTCTGACCGTGGTACAGTAATGCTGCATGAAAACTACTGGCAGCATGGTAATCTGCTGCAGTATATCTATAAGTGCTGCTGAGTTCCCACAATCACAGACATGCCATCAGCAACAACGACGAAAATTGGAGGGATTTGCTTGCAAATAAATCCTTTAGAACATCAGAGTTTTTAAAACAGAAAACAAAACAGTATTTGCAGATGAGCAGCATCTCTGCAGTTGATGCAAGAATTCCGTCCCCATAAAGGTGTTCCTTAGGCTGACCCTTCAGACCCAGTTATCAGTTTTCATTGTCCCTGAGTCAATATGGTTTGCTCTGTATTACTAAATAATTCAAGAAAGTGACTCTTCTCAGGCTCTGAGGCCAAGTGGAACAGAACACCTCCTCCCTCAAGGTTAAATCCCTTTCCTGAAAAGAATGGACATATCCAAACTGCTTATAGCCATGGTACATGTTCACCTCCTGAACTGTGCTCAGACCATGCCTGGGGGACAACTAATCGATACGCGACAAAACCATGCTAACAAGCATGTCAATATGGACATCTGTAGGACCTACTCATGCACTAATATCCTGTCCCTGCTTTATCCTGGAGTAAAATTGTAGCCTTCTGTGATTCATACATTGTTTGTTCCTTCTCTGAGTTTGTCACTAGCAGGCTAGACTGAACCTCTGGCAACCAGCAATGACTGCCTGGAGGAGGAGGAAGGGTAACAGCATCATGATGTTCCCTTAGAAACCTCACTCTTTAAATATCCTGAACAGATGAATCTTTGAAGAACCTAAAGTGTACCTTTAAAGACCCTTAAAAACCTACTAGCTTGGAAACCTACAATATAAACCACTCACCTCCACAGAAC